AGCACATGATGGGTTATACATTGCGGCTAGCATAAATGGTGGAAGAAAAACCCAGGAAGAACCACCGAACTACATACCCACATTGTCCGAACCCGAGGCTCAAACACAGGCTGGAAATACACTATAACTTATTACTCATGTTGAGCTTTTCTCATTTCAAATAAAAGTTTGGGATAGAAACGTTTTACAGTTAAATACGTTGATAAATCAACCATAACATATAAAAAACATTTCCATACTTATTAGGCATTGTGCCATAACTTTTAAAGAACCAAATACCATGAAATAATGGTAGTTCATGCATATTAGCTGCCAGAGGTTTAAAATTTTGCATAGTTGCACATACTGCTTGATGATAACTACTTCGAACATACTTTATGTACATTCGATGGGTGAAAGGTTTCTAATTTATGCCAAGCATTTCTGGCAAGCATTGTATTGACAGGCACTGGAACAATAAACAAGGATTCTGCACTTTCATACTTTTGATGCAATTGCAGATGGGAACTGTATACCCATCAGGATAGACAGATTCTGCACTTTCACAATTTGTGTATAATTGCAGATGGGAACTGTTTATCCATCAGGTTAGACTGGGATTCTGCACTTACATAATTTTCATATGATTGTAGATGGGAACGGTATACCCGCCAGGTCAGACTGCGTCAAAATTATCAGTACCGAGAGTTTCTTTTGATGTAGTGCCTTGCTAAAAATGATTCCTGATTATGTTACTGGAATCAATAGAATGTGTACATTTTCTCTGTAGTGCAAACGACTATATAATAGGAGAAATATAATATTAAATTAGTATTGAAATATTCATGCCTTGGTCTTACAACACATATCATGAAATTTCACCCATTGGAATGATGCATTAAGTAAACAAGTGAAAATGTCGCCTTTTGAAATAAATGCATTTAGCCTTATTTGTTGAATCCTTAAACCTCCAGTTTTGTATTTTTTACTTAAAAATCTAATCTTAAGTGCCAATAACACACACACGCACATACGCACGAAAATTATGTTTTGTATGCACTGTGACAGACAGTCACTATATCATTACTCATCAAGAAGTTGTTTTATAAAGAAATGTAGTTTGGATTTTAGCGTAGCTTTAACAATTTTTCAGTCATATCGCTACGATATCTGCAGTGTGGCAGTTTATAGTGATGTCTAGCACTGGGGCATCATGCTGCAGATATAGCAACCGCTCCGGTAGCCTAGTGGTTAGAACGTCTGCCTCGGATGCGGAGGTCGTGGGTTCGATCACCGGTCGAGTCACACCAATGACTTACAAAAATGGTACTAACAGCTGCCTCGCTTGACGCTCAGCATTAAGAGATTAGTGTTAGGACTGGTCGGCCTGGAGTCAGGATAATGTGACTGGGTGGGACATAATGCTATTCTATTTTAAATTGCTAATGTGCATAAACGGGGTTGAAATAAGTTCCGACAAAAGGATTTAAACCTGAGATTGTAAAAGGTGCCTTATCACTGGTGGAGTATGCTGTATTAACACAACATTCTATTTAAAATGGATTTCATCAATACAGAGTACCGACTCAATGATGATTTATTCCATTAAAAACAATCTTCTTTTCCATTCATGTTTCTGCTCATTAACCAGACGAAAAATATTTATCATATATAATCAACCATATTTGTAATCTTTCACTTCAATATCTGTTTTAATCGTATGTCTCAATCCGCTCCGTCGTTTAATGAATTTAAACGTATGTTAAGTTCCTTCAAAACTGATTGTGATAAATTTAGTCAACATAAAAGATGTTTGATTCTTTTTGCGTGGTTTAAACTCTATCATTGCGCCTTTTACAATGATGCTAGGGGCCCTTTAATCTACTCAAAAGATTTTCTTTGCAATGATATATCGGGCGCTCTACGGAGATGAACTTCTGAGAGAGTTGCTGGTGTAAGGTGGAGTTGTTTACATTTGCAACATGCACAGTGGTGAAAATATTGGTATACCTCTATATTACTTTCATGTACTGTTGCTAAAATTTCTTTTGGATATTGTGCTTGTGGAAATTGTACATGATCTAAGCTGACAGCTAACTAAATCGATTGCTCCCGTGTGCTAAAAATCAGCCTGTATTAGTCAAAAGTACACAATCTTTAGCAGTTATTAAAAAAAGGAAAAATAATTTTGATGGGAAAAATAATTTTGCTGGACAATGCCAACTTCTAAAAGTGCAATAAATGAATTGCTAAATAGATAACAAAATAGTTATCGCCTCCTTTTAATACAATTTACCTCTGAAATCCAGGAAATGAAAATGAGCAAGCGGATCGAGCAGTTTTTTTTTTGAGGTGTAAATCTGAAGTAAGGCCAAACCCTATTACACCTTTAAATTACACAATAAAGGGAATTAAAAGGTTGTTAAGATACCTAAGATTGTTACGAGTCTAGGCTAAAAAAATAACAGAAAAAAAGTGAAGACAAAAGCTTAGAAAAATTTTAACAATTTATTTCTATGGAGCACAAGAGAACATTGATAAAAGAGCTTATGGTTTTGTGAATTAATCCAAAAATAATCCATAGTTCAAGGATTATAGACAAGTCGTAGTAATAGAAAATCCTGAATAAAATTCAGCTAAAAAATTCCCAAAAAGATTAAAATTGAAGGCAATGACGTGTCTTATGTCCTGAGTCGTACTGATATATCAACAATCTCTACTTAAATCAGAAATATTATTCCAGGTTTGAATTCAGTATAAATTCCAAATCCTTTCCAAATATAGTCACTTGAATTCAATAACTTCTGAAGAAAATAAAATTCAACCCTCACTGCCCACAACATAACAGAATTTAAAGTGCTAGGTGTTAAAGCACAACTGGTAAAATCGTCACATTCACAAAATAATTTATATCTGTTTGATCGCACGCCACAAATTAGTATTTTCTAAAAATAACCAGTACCCAATGGAAAATAACCAACTATGATTTAACGAGCCTTTGTTTATTTCAAACATAATACCTTCTAAAATTCACTTTGGAATCCACAAAACCCTGACCCAAATCAACATGTTTACCTGAATAATAATTTGGTTAATGAACTCGTACATATTGAGGATAATGAAACTTATTAGTTGTTTACATGAATGAAATAATTTGTTTAAAAAAATAAGTCAATCAGGTCAAACAGAACTGAACTCAGTCTGGACAAGGTCAAGTCGAGTAAACTATGTTATATTACAGTAACATGTAATATAATAAATTACAATTAACAGACAAACAATTAAACTAAATTTACATAACAAGACATACAAGGTCTATTTTTAAATAGTCTTTATAACCAGTGATGAAACCCTGGGAAATTATTTTTTCTTTCAAATTCTAACCCCTACAGCAAAACATGAAACTATAGAGTGGCACCATCTGAGGTCCCTTACAGTGATGTAAAGGTCCTTTTGAACTACTAGAAGGTTTTTTTTATAGTGATGTAAGGATCCTTTTGAACGAATCTAAAGATAAACCAATAATAATCTCAAAAAGTAATGAAAGATAATTAGGAGTGAGTTTTTTCCCCAAATTTAAAATTGTATACTCCGGAAAGATAAATTAAGTAAAATCATGGGCTATATTCAAGTCAAAACTTTTTATTCTTTAGCATTCTGTTCTGCAACTAAACGAGATTGACTTTAGTTTTGGAGCATTCATTAAAATATTAGAACATTCAGAATTTGTGATGCGGTATGCGGTATTTACATAGCAGATTTCCATAACTTCCGTGAACCATCAAAAAGGAAATGATGCGGCATGGGGTATTACCGTATATACGGTATTAAAATAAAAGATTTCAATGATTTCAATGAACCACCAAGAGGACTTAATGCAATATTAGCACGGCAGACTTAAAGTTACGTGAACGATAAAAAAGGAAGTGGTACGGTATTAACAAAGGGTTTCAATGATTTCCTGAATCATCTAAAAGGAAGTAATGCTATATTAGCCCAACACATTTCCATAACTTCTGTGAACCATCAAAAGGATGCGATAGTGGCTTGTTAAGACCTAAACGATAGTACTTCTCTTTGATGTTTCATTTTTCAAGTTATATAAAGCAAAATGTCAACACACCGAATAATGATAAATTTGGAAAGTGAAAAGAAACGGACAAATTCATGTTTAGATTGTAAGCTAAGCAGAGGCTTGGCCATTTAAAAAAAAACCGTTTTTTTTTGCTTTCATTTCCTTTCAAGATTCCGTTTCTAGATAGACATACAAACGAAAATATTTCATAACGAATAAATAAAATGAGCATTGAGCACACCTCATGGTTATTTCCGACAAAGTGGAAAAATAACCTAACAGCGTCTGACGATTGCTACGATGGTAAATTGTCTCGTTCCTCCACCGTAATGTGCAATGTGAATAAAAGTCAATGGCGACGAATTACATGGCAGATTTCTTCCTGGACTTAAGGAAGTGGTCAAAGTCACTCGAAATGTAAAATAAGTTCTTAATATATAGCACAAGTGTCCTATTATCATTCTATAAGTGTTTTTGTTTTAATGAGAGAATCTTCCTGAAAAAACCATAAATTTTAATCGCAGGCATCAACTGGTGAAAAGAGTAGTGGATTTTTGCTTGCGACCCCCCCCCTCACAGACGCGCGCGCACGCACACACGGGTGAATTTGCTTTTATTCAACACACACACACACACACACACACACACACACACACACACACAGCGGAAGGGTGAATTTACTTTGATTCTAGGCAGGATTACTTCCGTTTTAGCACACATTACTTTGTTACCTTTTCGTCCATCTTCCCGCATTACCTACTCAGTATCTGCCTGTTACCTTTTTTTTAAATAGGAAAACTTTTAAAGTACGAATTTTATGATTGAATGCAAGTATGAAAAGACAAACTACATAAAGCATGCCCTTTGTTTAGAATCGCTTATATCTAACACCCGTTGGTGAAACTCGTTTAATAATATTAAGTGAAAGAAGTAGAATTGAACAGCTCCGGTGGCCTAGTGGTTAGAGCGTCCGCCTTAGATGCGGGAGGTCGTGGGTTCGTCAAGGTGGAGTCATACCAAAGAGTTACAAAAATGGTACAAATGGCTGCCTCGCTTGACGCTCAGCATTAAGAGGTAAGTGTTAGACATCACTATAAGCTGCCACACTGCAGACATCGTAGCAATATAACTGAAAAAATTGTTAAAGTTACGTTAAAAATCATAATCACATCACATAGACTGGTCTCCATGTATCATCCAACTCGTACGCATGTCAATAACAGTTATAGAGTATGTCAGGATAATTCAAGATTTAAATAAAAAGTATCTATGTGGAAAATTGAATACCATTCATTGAAATATGTTAAAGCTTTCATTTCTTCTCAATTTTGTCTTTTTCAATTATTTCATTCATGTTTTACGGAGTTTCTATCACAGCCAAAATGTAGAGAACAACTCTAGTACTGATTGTATTTAGTCCACTGAAGAAATCCGTTTTAAGTTCCATGTAAGACAGTTATCTTCTAATTACTATCTTGAATTGGAAAGCACCTTATCAGCCACAAAGGCCGTTACATGAGCGTTTTCGACCTATTTCTTGTCAGAGCCACTGATATGGTTCGATTGTTGTCCCATATAATTTAAAAGCTGCCAAACTCACCAGTCCAAATCGGAGATCCTAAATGTTCATTACTGATAGTGGCAGTAATGTTTCTTTTTTTTGAGAAATATTCTCATAAATTAAAAAAAAACCACCCAAAAACATCCTCTAATGCTGCGTATATCGTATTACATCTATATAGTCTACAAGAACTAGTTTCACTTACTTTAAGCGAACCAAAATGTTCTGTGTAAATATATTTTGATATTGTCTTGAGAAGTTGTAAGGATTTTAATTGAAGAGCTGGAAAGGTTAAATTTATTATTTAGAAAAATAATATGCAAATTGCACATTCAGGAAAATGGCTGTTGCCGTGGAGAGAATCAAGATCATGCCGTGATATAGTTTACGATGAAATTATTAATTTCTATCTTAATTATTCTAAATTTTATTTCACTCCGTAACACTCAAGCATCAGCCGACAATTTAGGTTTTATGCGAGGTTAGGGGTTTGGAAAAGTTTTGGAAAATAATTTCCGGCTTTCAAATTTATTAAAAACTATTTTTGGATTGATTTATAGACAAGCTAAGCAAACAAGTTTGAGGAAAAATAAACTTACCCAAGGTAAAAGAAAACCTTATTCGTCCCCCCTACCGCTCTTCACCTCAACCCTCCAAAAGTAAATGATCAGTCATAAGACGTTTTTTTTTACTCTAATGTTGATTTTCAATACTGTAATAAAATAGAACTGTAATAGTAAATTCATTTTCTGATTAACAAAAACTATAATATGGCCTAATCCAAAGTTTTATTGTATTGCAATAAAATTAAGGAGATGCGCAGTTGGTTATAGAGCTCCGTTTAAGCAATTCTTAGGTTTGTAATTACTTGTTTGAATATTCGGTGCAATGGTCAATATTCCCTAGACAGAAATAATTAGCCAGTTACTAGGAGCAAAGGTCACGGAGAGAAAAGTGTTAGTGAATTTCCATGATGCCATGGTCAATGAGTAGCAAATTCAGATTCGAATTGCATGACTGTCCCTGTAGTCCTTAAAAAATCGTGGTGTACATTGGTGTTGTGACTGCAGTGGCAGTATTTACCGGTAGGAAAGCGATAAATTACACAATGGAATAAACAGGAAGGGACTCGGTAGATATGTTTATGTCGCCATGGTGGGAAATGTGAGGCAATTGTATTTGCGTGATGCACCTTGAAACCGTAGATTAACTGGCCTAAGGTGGCGTAGTTCAAATAGTTCCTTGTGTTTAAGGATAGTTGTAAAGTTTCTACGGCGTGAACTGCTGACTGTACGGAAAGATGAAGAGAAACTATGCAGATGTGCGGTTGATTGTTGTTGTTGGGCTTAACGCCATTTTTCAGCACACGATATACTATACATGGCGGCCAGTATAAATGGTTGAGAAAGAAACCGGGAAAACCGCGGAAAGAACCACCGACACACGAGAAGCTACTGGCAAGCTTTCTCACATATCCACATTGGCTGAATCTTAGACTTGAACCCACGCAGACAGGTGAGATGGTTATCCGTAACAGAGAGTTTTAGACCACTCGGTCACTCTGGGCCCTCGAATGTGCGGTTGATAGATATTTGCCAAGTTGTGAATAATGCGGTCTTGCATTGATTAGAGTAAAAGTTATGTACAGAATGGGCACATCGGGCTTTATAACTTACAAGTGTAGTTGTATAGAAGTCTTTGGAAAATTGGGGTAAACTTATGAATTCTAGTGGGTATCGCCTCAGGGTTTTGACACCGCTCGGCCTGGAAAAGACCCCTGGCTTGGATCAGTATTATTACTATCAAGCTGGCCACACCGTAAAATCAATATCAATTGAACGCATCTAAATCACTAGTGCAGTCAGACTGAGCATTTTGAACAAACAAACAAACAAACATACATACATACATACATACATACATACATACATACATACATACATACATACATACATACATACATACATGCATGCATGCATGCATGCATGCATGCATGCATGCATGCATGCATGCATGCATACATACATACATACATACATACATACATACATACATACATACATACATACATACAAACATACAAACAAACAAACAAACAAACAAACAAACATACATACATACATACATACATACATACATACATACATACATACAGACAGACAGACAGACAGACAGACAGACAGACAGACAGACATACATACAAACATGCATACAAACATACATGCATACATAGATACATGCATACATACATACATACATACATGCATGCATGCATGCATGCATGCATGCATGCATGCATGCATGCATACATACATACATACATACATACATACATACATACATACATACATACATACATACATACATACATACATACATACATACATACATACATGCAGACAGACATACAGACATACAGACATATACTCAACGAAGTTGCATAGCCTTGATCGGAACATGGCGAAAAGGAAGCAGCTGAGCAATCACAGAGTATTTATCCAGTGGTATAGATGTTGCCTATTTTGTAATATTAATAAACTACCAAATTATATATAAGGATGTTTTCCTTGCTAACAAGTTGATTTGTCAGTTGTGGACACCTGAATATTACGGGCATAATCTAATTAGACAGTTGTCTGTTACTAACGCATTTAAAATAATATTGTGGTATGTAGAGTTTTATTTTTTAAATGAATTAGTAACAGACAACTGTCTAATTAGATAATGTATGCAATACACAGGTGTCCACAACTGACAAACTTGTTAGACAGGAGCACATCCTTATATATAATGTAGAAGATTATTCATATTCCAGAATAGGCAACATTTATACTACTGGATTATGTAGTCATGCAGCTTAAGAAATGTATTTATATGCATTTGAATGAAACGTATTTTTAACATTTAATATAAAATAACATTTTGGCAACTAAATTTTACCCTTGTGTATACAATCACATATCTTCTTGGGTGGCAGAATCATGCATAAGCTAGCTGCAAGGTTCTACCTTTCCAAATGAATGAATATCTGTTTTCTGTGCAATTAACTTCCTTGTGGAATTGGTCTTCTCTTACCTATTGATTGGTAGTTGGTTTGCAGGTATGCTTATGCATGTTTATCAGGTCTTTTCTCTTAGGAAACGAACAAATGGACCTCTGCACTTATATTAGGTTTCTGGCGTATTAAGATAAAATACGTTTTACTTCAAGGAATATTGCTCCCCAAATCATTTTAACAGACACATTATAATTGCCTGGTGTTAAAAGAAGACTAGAGGAGACTGTTTTATCAATTAAGAAAATATGAAACTTTTTAGTGCAGCGCAACTTACTTCCAGTTGGAGAACACATTTTTTTTAAAATAAAAAAATCATTAGAAAGCTGTTTAGGGCTTTAACTAGCAATTTAGGGGAAATTTTAGATGTGATTCGTAACCTATAGTTACAGTTCCACATGTCTTACTTTAAGGCTTAGATATTTATTCACAAACAGCTATTTGAAAGTGTTTTTGCTTTCTTTGCAGGATACCAACGAACTTCTTATCAATTGGGATCCATTACATTTTGTTGGAAAAACTATTATGAGGTGATATAAATTTGTTTTGTTTTCATTTTTAGCCATCTTGATAAATAAATGGTCAGTTATTAATTAAAGCAAGACGATTTTCCCCTTGTCAAGGAGTGTTTGAGGGGCGTAAGGAAAACAAAAGTTGTCAGAACAGTGGGGGTGGGTTAGGATTTTGGGATGGCGGTGGTGACTGGGGTACTGCTGTACAAGACAATGCTGATAAGATCATTACCATATTCCTGTTTAGTTCATTACTTCCCCGAGATACCTACTTAGTGTGTATACACTTGGGTTTTATTTTTATTCCAATGCCGTGTTTTCATTTATGACAAAAAATCCCTATAATTTGTATAGTGCCTTTTAATGTCTGGTTAATACTTTTAGTGAACTCCTTGCAAAGCTAACAATTTCGGTGAAGTAGGCATTTGTAAATATCTCCGCTCCTCATACGTTATTAATCCATCAAAATCCAAATTTTTAACGTTTTTTTTGCAACAGTATTAATCCTCTGGCACAAATAACATCAGGATATTCAATTTTATATATATGCCGATCTGCTTTCAAAATGTCCTTTATGAAATGAAATATTTAGTCGCGTCTTCTCAAATACTTTTTGACCAATTTAAAATGGAATAGTACTAACCTCTCCGGAAATCAGCTCGCTAAGATTCATACAAATTATGCCTTGCCGTCGTCCTGATATCAACTAACCTATAGTTGTAACCTTCATGCCAATTAGGCTGCCGTTAAGAAATGCCCACCAGACTGCAAAAAACTTAATCTATATTTACAATGCTTGACCAAATATAGTTTTGCTTTGTATTTCAATTTTTTTTCTGAATCACTTCTTAAATCAATTATTGTAACTGAATGCGAAATCAAATTACATTTGTGATTTCTATTTAAGGCTTGATTGAATCGATTGAATTTTTAAGACCGTGTAAATCGACTTGACAGCGATAGCTCAAAAAACATTAAAAGCCAACATGTTGTTTTAATAATGTTGCGTCCCTGTATTGCAGGAAAAGTAGTGTCAGCAATTCTAGACTATCGCCGAGATAGATGGCAAGGACTTTAGTTGTTGACGTAGAAGGCAAATGGTTAGACAGTTGTTGACGTAGTGGGCAAAAGCTTGGACTGTCATTGACGTAGAAAGCCAAAGGCTTAAAATGTTAACGTAGAAGGCAACGTCGTTGACGTAGAAGGCAACGTCGTTGACGCAGAAGGCAACGTCGTTGACGTAGAAGGAAAGTTTTCATATCTCAGTAGCTATTGTCCATCTGCTGTCCTTGACTGGCAATACAAATTAAATTTTCCCAAATGGTCCACAACATGATTACGAACTGACTGTTTTAATGCAGTTGTTGCACCTACACCTTTATAAAGTTTTCCGAATATTTTAAGGTGTTATTAAAAAGGTTTATACTGTACGTCAATAATTCACCATCAAGCACTTCGGAAGATTTACCACACGACTGGTAATGCGTAGATTTCACTGAAAATAGACAATACATGATTGGCTGCCATCCGTTGGTAACGTGACCTATCGTGTACGAGAATGTAGTGCTTGCCGTGCACGAGACTGTAGTGCTAGCCTTTGCCATTGCAAAAGTGCATAGACATTATGCACATTGTTATTGGGTAGTCCCTATTATTTGATATTCATTACTTTAAATGCAAGGGTTTTGTAACCATGAATTTATCGTCATCTGAGGAAACGAACCACTCTTGACTATTTCTATTAAAACTCAGTTTTTGTACAAACAAATACTGTATGTTTAGATTTCCATATAAGTATTACTTTTCTTCTTTCAAATTCATAAATTTATTGAAAATTGATAATTTGACATTCAAAACCTTTTTTTGCAATTCTGTAACCCGATGGTCAAAAGGTAATTTGTCAACAAAAACAGCATTAAAACAAATACTTCAACAGATTCTAGCATTCAAAACAACTGCCTGTCATCGACATGTAACATTATGTATTTGGTATGACTCGGCCGGGGTTCTAACCCGCGACCTCCCGCATCAGAAGCGGACGCCCTAACCATTAGCCAATCGGAGTGGTCTAACATTATGGAGATGAGAATTGCTGATAAATTCGACTTACAACTATTTATACCCCCAAAATGGTCTATATGTATTACTGGTAAAAGGTTTGTAATTTATTACAACAATTCCTGTCAAATCTCATATGGTCAGATAATACATCAATTGACTGGACCTATACTCTTTGATAGGCTTCATATAATTTATAGACAGTAAAGGTTAACTTACCAAGACAGAATGGTTCGCGTTTATTTGAGAAGATAGCTTTGGAACGCCTGATTGAGAAAGGAGCTCGGTCAAATTGTGGTAGAAGTCTGGAGCAACATTGTCGCTGACCTTAAATTTACCAACGATTGTGAAAAATGAATTGTTAATAAAATAGTTATGCCCATGTTTTCTTGCATCAATCATTCACTGTAAGATGGAGATTTTATTTATAGTTGGAACAATGCAATAAGTAGGATTGTAATGTCAGAAATATTTTCTTCTTTTGATATATTTTCAGTATTGATTATTGTTTTGTCTTGGGGTTTTTTGTGTGGGGCCTAACGCCATTTTAGCACGTTATGGGTCATACATGGCGGCCATTATATTTATAAGATGAAGATCACCGGAAGATCCCTGCAAGAACCACCAATCCACGAGAAGCTACCGGCAAACAAATTGAGATTGGAATCCACACGCGCCGACAAATGTGAGGTGTGGGTGATCCGTAAAGGTGAGCGCCAAATATCACTCGGCCACCAGTGGCTCTTTCAGCCTTGATTAATCCCCATTTCTTAACAGCAGATTTTCGTAGCTTGAAAAATCAGAAGTTTTCCAAAGACGAACTTCAGTAAATTTGAGAATTTGTTAGATGATCCATTATAACTTTGTAATTAATCACCACCTACATAAAATTTTGAAATCACGTGACAGCCTTTAAGGCCGACGAGAAATGCACAATTATGTGAAGGTGCAGGGGAAAGGGGTGTAGGGTTCAACGCCACTTTTCCGCACAAAATAGGCTATTACATGACCAGTATAAATGGTGGAGGAAGAACCTGGGAAAATCCCGGAAAGAACCACCGACCACACGAGAAGCTACTGGCATGCTTTCTTACATACCCACATAGACTGAACCCGAGGCTTGAACCCATGTAGACAGGTGAGATGGCAATAATCCGTAACGGTGAGAAATTTCGACCACTGGGCCACTCGGGCTTCCCAATTATAAAGAAATGGATATAAAGTTGGTAATGGGGATTGCGATGAAAGTATACTGTAATAAGCAATGAGTTTGTGAAGGACTGACCAAAAATAAGTCAGCATTTTTACGTTGACAGTGAGCTTCAATATAGAGTTCGTAGGCCAGTGGCATCACTAGGGTTGGTGTCACCTAGCGTGTCCCCCCCTTGACCTCCTTCCTGAACAAAAATTCAAACATTTTATAGACAGTAATTTTGGTGTCACCCTTTCTGATGGTGTCACCAGGTGCGGTCCGCACCCCCTCCCGCATTCTCCTAGTGATGCCACTGTCGTAGACACCAGAACAAATCCTTCATGGACTCTTACCAATAATCGGTTTAGTGACAAAGAAAGGTGGATTTGGTATAAAACTTTGAGAAATTCAATATAAGCCGTTTTTCTGAACACGCTGATTACATTTAAGTCAGTCCTGAAAACCTTGAAATAAGATTTAGCTATAAAGTTGGCTACAGCAGTGTTTGATGAGAAATGCAATGACAAAATAGTACACGTCTTTCAAAGCGCGCGTGTGAGAGATTTGGATTTTTAACGGAACTTTAAGAATAGTATCAGTTATATCGCTACGATATCTGCAGTGTGGCAATTTATAGTGATGTCTAGGGGCATCGTTGCCGCAGATATGTAGAATATGTCCCACCCAATCACATGTCTACAGGATGATGTATTTGAAACGTAGCTTTGGTACTGAGGTTATGAAACACTTGTTACAACTACTCTGGTACCTTTCTCTCCGGCGGTTATATTTATCAGTTAATGGTGTAGTGTGCGTGTCTGTGTGTGTATTGATTTGGATATTTAACGTAGCTTTAGCATTTTTTTTAGTCATGTCTGCTTTGTAGCAGTTTAAATTGACGTCTAACATTGCTATATCATAATGCAGATATGTAATATCATGTCCCACCTAGTCACATTATCCTGACACCAGGTCGACCAGTCCTAACACTAACCTCCTAATGCTGAGCGCCAAGCGATACAGCTGTTAGTCCCATTTTTAGAAGTCTTTGGTATGACTTGGCCAGGGTTCGAACCGGCGAAATCTCGCTCCGAGGCGGACGTCCTAACCACTGGGCCACCGGAGCGGTCTATAAATTATTTGGATGAACACTTAATAATTGATAGTGGTATTATGATACTATTCAGCCATCCCCTCTCTTTGGACACAATTTTCCTTAAGGGGCGTGTTTCGATTACGTCGACCACTGACGTCATTCAATATTCTTAATGTCCTCTTCTTTCCATGTCTTCGCAAATATCTTATCACAATACAAACTGACGTCCCCAAATCATGAGACGGACGCACACACAAACACACAATATTTAACACAAATATAAGCAGTATGTATATGACTAAATCCAAAAAAGTTTAAATTCTTTCCAGACACATGATTTCATCGACACATCGTAGTCTATAGGTATACATGTCATACTTCATAATTCATGATTTATATCATTAACATCCATCTTCTCTGATGGAACAACATTCTTCTCAAGTGTGCAACTTCTCGATCATCTTTTCCCATTAGTTTTAATTTTCATGTTATGGATGACTTTATGAATGACTTGCTTCATTTAAACCACACACTTGTCTTGCAGAAAGTGTCTTGTCACGTGCAAGCGAAAATACTTCCTACCACTAAAATAGTCCTCATAGTTGCAAGTAAAATAGGTACATTTGTTCGAAATGTATCGTATACAGGCAAGATACGTAGTTAACTTAATGTAGTTTTCATTATGTTTATGCGCGTATTAAGGAAGAACTACTGATAACACCCGATTGGCGGATTAATATTTACAAAACTATATACGGTGAAATGACAAAGACAAGCTTGTGAAGCGTAAACAAATGAACAATTAAGTTGATATGCATTTCACAAGGAGTCTCGGAATATTCTTCGCTATTATTAGTACCAACCACAATTCTGCTTTCTATATGAAAACTTTGTGATAGCTGTAGGTTTTACAGATATACATGAAATATGAATCGTTTATAGTCTGAATTGACAATATAAGACCAAGATGTCAGCCTCCATTTGATTCCGTCAGTGTTTGCTAGATACTGTGAACTTGAGGTCCCTTTTGTATGCAAAATTTAACGAACCTTGAATACATCTCCTTTAGTCTTTGTGTAACACGATAGTTACAGTACACTATGCCGCTATTTATTATGTGTAATAAACACTGTCAAGTTACTCTTTTTAACACGATAGGTACAGTCCACTCTATGCAGCTATCTATTATGCGTAATAAACACTGTCAAGTTACCTTTTTAACACAATAGTTACAGTACACTATGCCGCTATCTATTATGCGTAATAAACACTGTCAATTTACCTTTTTAACACGATAGTTACAGTACACTCTATGCCGCTATCTATTATGCATAATAAACACTCAAATTACCATCTTAAGCTCATATTAATAAAGAATCCGTAAAACTGATTGTACCTCCATATTCCTTAGACAGTTTTTAAGTAAATCGCGTTTCACATTTTAGGTTTTTCTTTATATGTGAGATGTTATCGAACATCCACATGTCATATGTACATGGGTTCGTTACAGCGAAAAATTTTGAGTCTAACCTGTAACAATACATATAACTTTTATTTGTAACGAACCCCTGTGTTAGATAGAAAGAGCAGGAGAGATTGAGGTCACAACAGTACCTGCATTGGCCGTTCGGCAGCTCTAATGCTTCTCTGCAGAACCTTCAGTCGAATTTCCAAGTGTGTGGTGTTACCTTGGGTGGATTGCTTACATTTTCTTCCAAGTATACGTAAATTTGTTTGTACATCCCAACGAACAGTTTTAATTAAATCGCTATGGCGGAGAACGACTTCACGCTTAGATAAAATGTTTCAGGCACGAATTTGCACGCTTTCTCTGCGCTTTACATGTCCGAACTCTCTGGCACCTTCTAAGTGGGGAAAAACGCCATAAGGATTGATTGACAATTTTCAATACATAATCGATAATCCATTATTAAATTATGATAACAGACTTTTAATAATCATTACAGTACTGAATATTTTTACCACCATCACCAACACCACCACCACTATCATCATCATGTCGAAGGTCAACATAGGGGCAAATTCTTGACATAAATCAATGAGAACGATATGTTTGTGATTTTAATTTAGTTAAAGTCGTTTTATGTCTTCTTAAAAAACAACAAATTTTTAAGTCCCATTTAACTTAATTGAATATAAGTAATTTAACTTACAGAAACTGCGGAAAATGTCGCGTTAGTCTATATAAAAACGAAGCATCTTTTTAGTCTATATAGAAACGAAGCATCTCTATAATTTAAGCTTATAATATGGAGTGTAGTTAAAATCAGCTTGAGCGATCAGTGACTTTTTCTTTATTATTATTATTATTATTATTATTATTATTATTATTATTATTATTATTATTATTATTATTATTATTATTATTATTATTATTATTATTATTATTATTATTATTGCAGTTGCTGTGGTGGTTGTGGTGGTGATTACACTAACACACTATGCATGTCAGGTTTAGTGAATCTTTCTACTTTTCTCACTATGTTTTTCACACTGCAATTACAAGCAGACCAAATACAAATAATTTATATACGTTTGAAGAGATGTTGTGCAATCGACGCAATGATATGACTGAAGAAAATTTGTGCCAGCTATCTATCCATCATCGTTGTCATCGTCATAATCATATACAGATCACATATAAGATATTATAAACTGCAAGAGTGTCCGTTCAATGTTGTTTTCCATCACATCAGGGAATA